TTACATTTTTCGAATACCTCCTTTGATATCATGTTCTCCTAGTAAGAAGTCTCTCCGGGCCGCAAAATTTGAAATGGAACCAGAAAATCTGAGTTTTGTATTAGGAGAACATGATGCTAAAAGAGCTTCCCGAAAAACGTAAACAAATCAGGGGGCGGGAAATTTCAGGCAGATCTCGAAATCTGAGTTTTGTATTAGGAGAACATGATGCTAAAAGAGGTATCCGAAAAACGTAAACGAATCAAAGGGCGGGAAATTTCAGGCGGATCTCGAAATCTGAGGTTCTTACTAGGAGAACATGATACTAAAAGAGGTATCCTTAAAATCTAAACATTCCAGAGGCGAGAAATTTGAAGAGGATCTCGGAAATTCCAGTGCTGTACTGGAAGAGCATGATACTAAAGAAGTTTCGCGACTCTGAGAATTTTATTATTTTTCGGATACCTCATGTACCATTATATTCCTCTGCTAGGTACGGTGAAATAAAAATCACAAGCTTTACAATATTAATCAATTTATTTATTTCCAATCATTTCTTTACATTGACATGTGTAGTACAAAAGCGTTGTACATAATTTAATTATTAATTATAAGCTTCCATTGAGTCCTTGCCGAAGTTCTACAAGATTCCTTCACACTCCAGCACGCCAAACTGTAGCTAAAACGCACCAGTTTAACATTGGGATACTGCAGATATACGTAAATAATGTTAAACACAACTAAAGATTGTATGAGGGCAATAATTACAATTTTAAATTCCCTGGAATATTCGAGCGATCAGTGCCATCTATAATAAAACGCTCAAGCTACTAGAGAATTAGTATAGCCAAACCACGGTTAGATGGCGCTGAACGCATCGCTATCGTTCGGCTGCGTCGTCCAAGCTGTTCGCCAAATAGTACAACTATACTCTCGCTAGATGGCCCGCCATACAGTTTTCCTCGTCACTTGTCAGCGTCATCTACAGTAAAACGTCCAAGCCATTAGCTAAATAGTACAGTTACTCCCAAAAATGACTGAAACGCTCCAAAACCACGAGCTCAAACTAAAAAAGCTCAAAATTTCACTCTCTGCACATTTAAATTCTCCCGAAAATGGCTCGAAAGCTCTAAAACATAGAGCTCAAACTAAAGAAGCTCAAAATTGACTTTTTTGACACAAACCACTCCAAAAAAGAACTCCTTCAAGAAATCTTTGCAACACCCGGAAGAGACCTCCGGAATCGGTGTGAGAAGCCCCTTAAACCGTCGCGAAATATTCCCTGAATCGTCCAGAGAAACCCCTCTAGGATGCTCGACAGACCTTCGCGGGAGACCTCCGAAATCGGTTTGAGAAATCCCTTATACTGTCGCGAGAGTCCTACGAAATCGGTGTGAGAAACCCATGGAACCCCCGCGAGAGACCGGCCCCTGGAATCGATGTGAGAAACCCCTCGAGCCATCGCGCGAGACGTCTGGAATCGGTGTGAGAAGCTCCTCGAACCCCCGTAAGAGACCACCGGAATCGGTGTGAGAAACCCCCACCCGTCATGTGACACCTCGCCATCTATTGGGAGTACTGTGTAACTTCTGACCAAATAGTACCAACATGTATCCGCAGGATTCGATTACCAACCCTGGATAAGGAACCAGTTACAAAAGTGTCCGGGAGTATGCATAGGGGTTATAGCTGACAGACGTTACCTGGAGGTGATAGTGTAGTACAATGTGACATGAAGTTGAGCGTTCTCTCAGTAGGTGGCGCAGCATTTCCTGTAGTAGGAAAGACAAGGAAAAATATACAGAACTGAGAAGGACAGATATAGGTTTTGATTGCTGCCATCTAGCGGGAACAACGTGAGGTATTATTTGATAACAAGTTTGAGAGTTCTCTTAATAGATGGTGCTACGAATCATTTATTGTTTTCCGTTTTGCAGCTATGTATCTATCCTTATCTTACACATTACGGGCTTACGAAAAATTCTGTTTTCTAGGTTAAAAATGGCGATTTTGTTTACGGCCGCTGTCACGCAAACGTGATTTTACCTTCAGCTTTAATTTGGTGTGGCGAAAATTGGCAAGAAGTATTGGTTTTTGCGTAATTGGTTAGTTGCCAGTATTCACATAGGATTTTACGGTGAAAATAATAATGTGCATCTTAACGTAACAAATATTTAGTACACTCAACTTTAATATGTATTGTAGTGCAGTCTGTAGTTGTCATCGAGCATTGGCAAGCAATCGAAGTTTGTGTATCCTTGAAGTGAGTGATATATATCATATTATTACTCACTGTTGTGATGTCCTTTAATAGATTTGTTATTCCATATATTTACTATAGAAGTTGGTTTCTAAATCATTCGTTTATTGAATGAAAGATAACCTCTCACAAGCTTGGTGTAAACAGAATAACGTGGAGTAATTTAAAGAAGAAATGATGGATTGTTTGCAAGAACCGGCATTCTTAGTAGGGAAGATTGATGATGAAATGAATCTTTCTTTACCACCAGCTTCCGGAGAGGAGTATATCAAAAGAGTGATGTAAGTAAACTAATGAATTGCATGTTGCGTTGATAGATGTATGTATCAACTTTACGTTATAGAATAGAAGCACAACAATGTGCGGATGTGGTAGTGGCAAACATAGATTCCAGTCACTTTAGGTGTCCCACCATTGATGTTGAACCTGTAAGTGTCCAGGCACTTTGTTAAAATTCTGAATTTAAGACATTTATAAGTTAATGGAATATGTAGGTTATATTCTTAGAATGTTTGGTGTTACTTGATTCTAACATATTCTGCTAATAGTATCAATGAAAGGATCCCACAGAAATAACATTTGTTTCATTACTGCCAGTAGCATAACACTATAGTGAAGTTACGCCAAATATTATAAGAACAATCTGTGTGATAATAATCCAAACATTCCAAGTTATTAGGATGTATAGAAGCACCATCACGGTTAGGACCGACATTACACTGGCAACAGTGTCAGTTATCGGATTTCTCAAATATGAGATTATACATAAGCCAAATAAAAGATGAATTTCAGACAGTCAAACATAAATATAAACTTAAACATATTAATTTGGTGAGTACAGATATATTTTGCACATAGTAAAACAATAAAATTTCTTTTATCATTACCTGTTGAATTTTTCAGCCATGTGTAGACGATGAGGAAGCTTGGATTAAATTTTGCTCTGGTAGTTACGAAGACCAGAAGGAGACTGTTCCAACCTTGGGTATTATATTCTCCTTAAATCAACCAATGGTGGAACAAATATTGGAATACCTGATAGAGTATATAGAGGTTCAAAAACAGATAAACCATAAGCTGGGTCAGTGGTTGTATGCACTATTGGTGATCCTGGAAATGCCTTTAACACCAGACACATGTTCTTGTTTACGTAGTTTAGCCAGGACGTGCTCTGTCATTCGTGCAAATTCGGTAATGCATAATCATCAATGAATTAAAATTTACATTTTCTAACAAATCAATTTTATTGCATGGTTGTACATAAATTTTGTCATTTAAAAATGATTAGAGTAATTTGGTGAAATAAAAGAAAGTTAGTCAAACCTACGATTTATGTTAAAAGAAGGTACAAAAATGTAGTTTGTCGAACTCCTAGTAAATTGTCGAACTATACATTAACTTTGTATATTTATTTTCTTTTCTTTGTTTTTCTAGAAAAACTTGGAAGTACATGAAATAGGGGCATTGAATTTATTTATATGCCTAGTTGCAAGGTATTTCCGTCAACTTGACATGGCTGACCCATAAAAGTCTGTTTCCTAATGTGAAATTAGAATGATATTTATCTGTTTTAATAAAGTCAATTTTTTTATACATTCAGTATGCATTACTTCTTGTACACCTTTCCCTTATATTTATTTAAAGAGTATGCTATCGATTCCTTATGGGTATAATAAGATAACGCTTTAATTAAATAAGTGTATTACAATAATCAAATAATAAGCAAAGTTGGAAAATCCAAGTATCCTTAAGCTATATTTTCCTGATCCTGGAGTAGTGCGGTTGCTAATCGTTCTAAGTCGTCATAACTAAGGTTATCCACTTTATTCTGCAAGATTTTTAACAATTTATTGACTATAGAATCTGTGTCAGATTCTGTGTAATAATATCTCAAAACTCTAGAGATTTCATGTCGTAACAGATATATGCCCGATTTGCGTTGCACTGCCTTTCCTTTGCTAGATCCTTCCTCTGTCTTTTTAATAACCAACATGTGCAATCTACACCCATCTTTGATATCCGGATAAAAACTCAAAGGATTCGCATCTAAAAATAATAACTTTATATTGTTCCCATCCTACGCATGATTTATTGACTTAAACTCTTATGTAGAATTGATCTAAACGGGTCTTACCAGCTAACGCTTTGCCATTGTATAACAGTTTCTGTTGCGATACTTCTATGCCCATTAGATTGCTGACTTTATGCTTTAGCTGCAACACTGTATCCGAAGGCATAATCTGATTGTACAAAAAGATGATGTAATAACAATTGCAGATAAACATAAAATGTATGCTATGTATCAATGAAAAAAAGTAACGACTCCAAGAAGAAGAATAAGGGCATCGCATGTGAAATAAACGTTAAAGAACGTAATACGGTAATAAAATGAAATTCGTTGCGAAACGTTCTGGTGAATGGAAACCAAGTAAAAGAATAAGCAAGCTAGATTGCCTGTTACTCACGTCAACAACACATCCTTTTCCTGGGAGCTTCTTCACGACAACTTTCATGTTGCGATCTGCTCGTGGCAACACGTAACGATCAGTACGAGCGCGTGAAACTCAAATTTTTGGCAAGATCGAACTTCTAAACGATACAGACAACAGTCCGAATATTTTATTTACAGGTTATGTTCTATTCTTCGAAAACATCTGTACACCACAGCGTCATCAACTATTTCTACCGAGGACACGCGACACATGCACACAGGTAGTAGTCCAAGATAACTGTTTTTCGATATGCAATGCGAGAGTTTATATCTATAGATGTTCGTTTATCGACATGCTCACGCCATTGAGATGTCCGTCTGTTTCTCCTTTCTTAACCAACGATCGATCGTTCAATTACCGACGATTAGAACACTTTTCTATCCCACTTCGACTACCAACAGTTACCAACGAAAATGAAAGCTCTTTCTCATGTTGTAATATTTAATGGCTGACTCGCAGCGCCAAGCTCGTGTTTCGATATAACCTATCGATATCGTTGCTTTGTTTTTGGCGGTTAGTCCGAACGTTGTAACGCTTCTTTTTTTGAGGTTAGGTATCCTACGTTTCGCACGTCAGTCTTAACAAAATGAAATCAGAAGAAAATGGTACTGACCCGGCGGAAAATACTCCAATTACCTGCAGAGGTGATTTAACTCCGTATTTTATGGCTTGGGATCATAGCATTAACAAAGTTCACTTATCGAAGGTAACATTAACACTGTCTTACTTACTTGTTATCCTATTGGTTTGTTATTTGCTGGTAAAGAACGCAACACACTGTTTTCTACGTTAACTGCAATGTTATATATTGTTAGGTGCCACAAATCTGCAAAGATGAGCCTTGTCAATTAGGTATTGACGAAGCTGGACGTGGACCAGTTCTTGGACCCATGGTTTATGGGATCTCTTATGCCCCATTGTCCAACAAAGAGCTCCTAGTAGATCTAGGCTGTGCTGATTCGAAAAGCTTAACAGAGGAGAAAAGAGACGTGATTTTCGATGAAATTTGCAACAACGAAGGAGCCATGGGTTGGGCTGTGGATGTCATATCACCTAATACTATATCGAACAGCATGAACAGACGCAGCAAAACATCTCTGAACGAAGTATCCATGGTTTCAGCGATCGAGTTGGCTAAAAGGGTAATCGAGGCTGGAGCACAGATCACAGAGATCTATGTGGACACAGTGGGCAAGCCAGAAAAGTATCAGGCTAGACTGGAGCAAATTTTCCCTGGCCTGAAGATAGTTGTAGCTAAAAAGGCTGACTCCACTTATCCTATTGTAAGCGCAGCCAGTATCTGTGCCAAGGTTTCCCGTGATCACGCTATAAGGGCATGGCAGTTCCTCGAGGGGGACATTAAAACAGAATACGGGAGTGGGTATCCGAACGATCCGGAAACAAAGAAGTGGCTCTCTGAAAATGTAGATCCTGTGTTTGGGTTTCCACAAATAGTCAGGTTCAGCTGGTCCACCGCAGAGAAGATCTTAGAGTCGCAAGCTTTGTCTGTCGAATGGGAAGAGGTGGAGGATGCAACGACACCGGGGGAGCAAAAGATTTCAAACTTCTTCGCCAGATCACCGGCAAGATCATGCCTACCACAGAAGAAACGTCACCCGTTCTTCACAGAGAGATGTCTCTTCAGTACCTCTACCTTATGATGGTTACGGATCAATTAAAACATAAAATGGAACACTCTGAACACACACGGTTCCCGTCACTTATTTGTCGACGTAGTCGTCGGGTTTATTTTACCAGAACGTTAAGTTAAAGATAAAAGCCGAATCGATTTATGTACATATGTACAGATTGTATGTCCTTACGCTTAAATCGTACACAGAGTGTCAGTACGAGCAGCGATGACTCTCTACAACACTCTATGCCTCTCGCTGCGGTTAAGTAACAATTAGGAATGTGATAGCGCGGATGTTCTTTGGTTAAACACAACACGCCACATGCTCGCGCGCGCGTACACACACAGCTCACGATAACTCTAGGATATAACGTATCATTGCTGCCGATTAATAGCGACTAGATTGATAAAAGCTACGACGTGAGAGACCGTTCGCCTCTCACTGGGCTGAATCTTCCTTGTTCACTGGCGACTGGACGATAGAAACACTCGTGTACAATTCGATTATAAATACGTTTGGGCATTCACTCATTGTCACGCTCTCTTGCACTCACACAGGCATCGCGATGATTATCAATTCATCCGCCAACGGGCTACCGGCTCCATTTTGATATACACAAATTCTTACGCTTCGAAATCATCGTTTACATTTGTGACGGTTTACCATGATAAATTATAAACAATTTCTAACGATTAAGATTGACTGCTATTCTAATTACACACTCGAGTTCTACGTGTTCACTATTGACCCTCTGCACTCGAGAGGTGACTTAGTCATTGATTTGATACAGCAAAACTATGAAGTTGAATGTTTACTATTTTATATAAAACTTTGTATTGCTATGTGAAACATTTCAATAAAATAGCTTTATTGCTTACTTTATCTAATTTATTAATTAACTTAATTTAGAAAATGTTGAATATTTGTGAGAAACTTCCGAGTGCAAAGGGTTAGATACTAATAATAAGTAAAAGCGAACTTAACACTAAAACTACCGAGTACTTCAATTGACTTTTGAAAATTTCACTATAGAAACTCCAAGAGTGCATATCTGTTGAGACTTTAATTGATGTATAATTCAATCTGCGCAGTGCTAAATGAATTTCTTTAATAATTTCTCAGAGAAACATTTGTTACCTTCCTAATAATTGCAAAAAGAAGATATCAGGCATGGGTCATTTGACCCCTCTGGTAGTTTTAGTGTTAATTTTTCAAAATAAACGCTACTAATTCGGGTTCAAATGGACCCGAAGTCCGTTCAAGGATGAACCGTTCGCATTTGCTCGAAATGTTCTCTCGCTCTCCTTCTCCCTCCTTACTCTACCTAATATAAAAGACAAAGGAGAGGGAAAGAATTACACGTAGGGTGAAAACTGCGCGTTCCCCGGTGCACGGGGATACACGGACGATGATAGATTTCTTATACATTTCAATTGCGTTTAAACTCTGTCCACTGAATCGTGTCAACGACTGAATAAAAACTCTTAAACAACCATGCTCTCTCTCTCTCT